TCAGTGACCAGTGCCTGTGCTTGGACCTTAGCATTGCTTAGTTTATCAATATAGACATCGCTTCTGCATACTCCGATTTATAGAAATATATGTGAGTTCAGTTATTCTTAAAAAAGATTCATCTACAGACAACCCTGAAATCAAAGCAGAATTCCCATAACCATTGCCCTAAACAAATATTTTTGCTGCTACTAATATAAGCAAACTTTGCAAAGCAACTACAAACCTAGCAAGCAATGAGAGATGGATCTGAATGTGAATTCATGGAAATACAGTTTCAATTACTAGAATTAAATACATCATGTCTAGTGCCTGTTTGTGTGTGAAAGACATTAATTTGATTGTTTACTATTTAGTTCTCATCATAACTTATATTAAAAAAATACTGAAAAACTTATGTTCTCTGTATTGAAGGCCCATGATTTTCAAGCATTTAGGAACTTCTACTTCTTAAACAGCTTTTTTAACTTGTCAAGACATGTTTGATTTAGCAAGCACAATAATATCTGAATAATTTGTTTAAGCATACACAAACAACCTGTCTTAATTAGCAACATTAGAAATGTTAAAAATAAATGTATAAAAGTTGTAAGTCAGAAAAGTTAATACAACCTTATGCTCCTTATATCCTATTTTTTAGAAGAATGATGTGAAAAATGGAAACCAAAAAAGTAGAGCCTGTAGTAGTAGCGACAGCTGTCACAGATTCATTTTTGTCTCTCTTGGATATTAAAAATGGCTAAATAGAATTGATTAAACTTTTCTTTAGAGCTGCAGGAAAGGAAGCAGCTATGACAGATTTCATCCAACAAATTACATATTTTTTAAATTGAGGCTTATAATAAAAATACTTGGCATTATTATATAGTATTCATCCTTTGGTACTATGAAATAGAGAGGGGATAGTGAAATTCTACTGCTTTTTGTCATATTAGAACCATTGAAGCCATCTGCACTCCAAAAACCTATTGCTCAATATGCCTGTGGTTTACAGGAGCATATGTGTGAATCTTTTAATTCAACAAAAGAAGACAGATCATACTGATTATTTTTGTTGCACAGAGATGTTATGGATCTTTTCCTATTCCACAGTTTATTTTTGGAAAATAATTTTTATTTTTAGACAGACTAAATAGTCATTTTGCTAGCATTTAGAAAGCACAAGTTGTAAGTTAATATCAGTGGAATTCAAGGAAGGGGCAATGGGAGAAAAAGGGATCTGATCCCCAACGTCTTGTTCTGAACATATCAAGTAATAGCATATCCATCTCTCATTTATTAAAGCTATGAAGGTTGTAGTACTTAGATATCTACAGAGAGGTGTAACAGTAGAAGTTTAAACAATCACAATTTTTTTGGCCACAAGTGTCAGATCCTTAAACGTGGTACATAGGCAAAGAGACATTGAGAAAATTCAAGTTACAATGCCATTTTAAAATACTTTCTGTTACCTGCTGAGAACCATTTGTAAATGTTTAAAATTTTAAATGTTCATTGTAAAACACAGTAAAAGTCCCTGCAATGCCAAAATTTGTAAGTGTAACTCTCAGAGTCAAAAAAAAATCATGAATGATTCCTTATGCTTTCATATCACCATTGCATCTGTAGTGTTGGACCCTCTGTTAGGCCATACTCTGCATCTCTGAATTCAGAGGGAACTTAAAATGCCTTAGAAGTCAAGAAACGTTAGCTTGAATGAGGCTTTTAGAGTTGTTCCATTTATTTTATTTACATTGAAACCTAGCAAAATAATCTCATAGTTTTGGAGGTTGTTTTTACAGGCATGCATACAAAATAGAAATAGGAGCCCACTTTTAATATTTTACAAAAGTGATTTAGCAAGGCAGAAGAGGAAACTCCTTTCTTTCTAGCAAAGTCAATAAAAAACTCTTGTTCTACTAAGTTTCAAAGTTTGATGAAGTTCTGAGTTGTAAATGAGCTGAAGCCTGCTTCTTACCTTGGGAAGTTTTTGTAAATGCTAAAATGAATGTGAGAAGAAATAAACCTCTCTATGATATAGTAAGAGCATAATCTGAATTCCAGTGAAACTGTGTGGAGAGAGTCCTCTGCCTTACGCAACGTGAGAGAGGTCACAAGCCATATACATCACTTACACAGCCCATGCTGTACCAGGCAGGAGAGTGACTCTTCAAGGAGCAAACAAGCATATGCCCACGTACTTGGGGAGGGTAGTGTTCATTTTCTGCCTGTTATGGAGTGGCGTTGGTGACCGCCAGGAAAGCGAGGCCAGGAAGGACCTGAGACCCAGAGATCAGCAACTGCAGAGTCGACAGAGACACACCAGGGAAAAGAGAGGCCAGGAGAGTAATGGCGTTTTTCTCACCAAATCTGTTCTCTTGCTTATTTTTTTTCTCATTTTATCTCCTCCTTAGCACTCTTCATATTGCTGCCTTAACTTCACTGACTGCGTGAGTCTTCCATCCCAGACAAGGACTTACGTGGTCTTGAAGGGAGGAAGTAAGACAGCAGAGGCACAAACCTTCACATCTGAGTGAACATTGCTCAGGAGGGCATCAGCATTATGCTGGTGTGGCCTTGATGAAATCTATAGTTTCAAATATTAGAAACATTAGTCTGCAACTGGGTCAGTATTTTATTTTCTAAGATTCTTTTCCCAAACACTTTGTAAGCAACCAGTTGGAGGGGGGGCGGGGGCAGGGAGGGGCCATGTTAAGCCTTTACACAAAACACTCAGCCCTGTATATTTGTGCAAAATGTAAAATAGATGCCTGGCAGGCAAACATAGAGCACATACTGCCACAGTAAACTGGTGATTGCTTTCAAACCATTGCTTTCTACTTCATTGCGCATAAATATGATTCTCCTAACCCCTTTGCTGGAGTTTGACAGGAAAAAAATCACAAGACTTTCATGCAAGAACATCTAAAAGCAAACTAAGAAGGAGCATCTTAGAGGAAAAAGGACAGATACAGCTCACTGCCATAGCTATGTGCCTTAAAGCACTGGTGCTCCTGTGTGTATGGTCTAAGATACCATTGTCCTGGCTGGCTCCAAAGTATGAATAACTGTAACCAGGTCTGCATTTGAAAGAACTGTTTGCTATGTCCTAGTGAGGCACTGAAAATAGAAAGCCAACCTGATTCTACTCGCTGTGAAAGGCTGTGTGCTTTTCTATCCTAATGAGTGATTTGGTCAGTTTGAGATGTTGTGTATTAACCCCAGCAGGCAGGTCAGCCCCAGATACCACTCCCTCGCTTGCTGACCCGCAGTGGGATGGGGAAGAGAATTGGAAGGGTAAAAGTAAGAAAACTTGTGGGTTGACATAAAGACAATTTAATAGGTAAAACAAAGCTACATGTGCCAGCAGAGCAAAACAAGGAATTCACTCACTGCTTCCCACCTGCAGGCAGGTGTTCAGCCATCTCCAGGAAAGCAGGGCTCCATCACACGTAACAGTGACTTGGAATGACAAATGCCGTTAACTCTGAGCATCCACCCCCTTCCTCCTTCTTCCCCCAGCTTTTATTACTGAGCATGTTGTCATATGGTGTGGGATATCCCTTTGGTCAGTTGGGGTCAGTTGTCCCAGCCGTGCCCCCTCCCAGCCTCCTCTGCACCCCCAGCCTCCCCACTGGTGGGGCAGCATGAGAAGCAGAGAAGGCCTTGAGGCTGTGTAACTGCTGATCAGCAATAGCTAAGACATCCCTGTGTTATCAACACTGGTTTGGTCACAAATCCAAAAAATAGCACCATAAAAGCCGCTATGAAGAAAATGAACTCCATCACAGTCAAAACCAGTACATGAGATTACTATAATTTGTCATATAACTCAAATCCATTAAAAAGGGGGTTCAGTAGCATCCTTGCTAAATAGAATATTTACCATAAGCATCAGACACAAGTGACTCCTGTGATCTCATTGATAAAGATCCGAGTGTTGACTCCTCCGTCTGTGCAGATGCTCAGTTTGGGACCAGTTTGCTAACCAAGGGAAGCAGGTTCTCATGATGTTCTCTGTGTGCAGGCCTTTTGAGTGAATTCTTTAAGAAATCTTTTTTGAAAATATGTTTTAGAAGTTGATTATATTTGTTGCCACCCTAGGCATTTTCTTTTTCAGCCACTATTTACCTTGGGAATATGAAGCTGAGAACAATGTGATTTAATTTTGCTGGTTGAGATTCAACCATTGAAGAAAATGGCTGCTTATTTAGTTTTAAAACAACTTCATCCAGTGGCAATACATTCATTTTGAGGTGAATCTTCTTTTAAATGTTTTTATCTAAAATAATTTTTAAAAGTTTTCCAGAAACAAAGCAGGGGAGAAAAGGAGAAAGTCTATGTTGGAAGAGTGAAGCTTTTAGTAACAGTATTCATATAAAAACTATAATGTAATGAGAGATTGCAGGAGGTAATGAAGGGGAATTTTAGGAGTGGATGAGAAAGAAGCCATACATAGTTGCTGTTATGAAAGCTTTGTAAGAGAGAAGGACTTTGTATTTTGAACATATCAGAGGTGGAAACAGCACATAGAGTTTTAAATAGGCTGAGGCATTGCTGAATGTGTACTCCGTCCGCTTTAGTACACATATCAAAATGTAAATGAGAAGGAAATCAAGTCTTGCTGTGGATACTATCACCTGTACATCAGGAGGTATGAGTTTGCCATCTATGGACATATTATTCAATGCTAAAAAACATAGCTGCACCTTATTTGCATGGGCATTTTAAAAGACTGCTAGTTATTCCTGCTAAGTTTCATTACAATTGCGGTTATAAAAATAAAGTATAAAAATCCATTCACTTTGTGGTTTTAAGCTTTATTTCTGATAGCTTGTAGGGATAGCTGTACAGTCTTTGTTGGACTCTTTTTCCCCTCTTTGAAGGTACTTGAGAAAGTTAAGGAGGGTTTGCAATTTCTTCTCAGGTCTATAGGTCGCTCATCTTACAAGGCTACTGTCAATGACAGTCCCATGATTTGGCCTTCAGAGTTGAAATTGTTTTTTCTCTGTTTCTTCCAGATACCGCAAACAGTATACTAGATCGGTTGTTGACAGTATGGATGGGAGTAAAGTAATCAAGGACAGTCTGGAAACTCAGCGATGGTGAGAACATGAAAGCATGTGGAGTGGAGCTTGTAGAGTTTGAATTGCCCCTGGTCCGGGATCTGAAAGATCATTGCTCATCTTGTGTTCCTTCATGGCACTCGTGTCTGTCTGGTTTGCTGGTGCAGCATGTTGCCAGCATTGAACCTCTCAGGAATTCAGAGCTTGTTTAGCAGAGGGTTCGTACTTCTGCAGCCTGTTTCTGACGGGGTGAAAAGCCAAATTTTTGAAAGCCCAATATTGCAATGTGAGAATTTCTTTGTATTCAATTATTTGGAGAGGGAATGGGGCAAATAATGGGGATTTATTTGATTAATCTATTTGTTAATTACTGTTCTTTAATTATTTCAGGTTCCCACATGCTAAACTTATTGGGCATGCTAATACATTTCAAAATAAAGTTTGGTTTTTTATTTACTTCAAATAGTGATTTGGAAAATTTAAAAAAAAAAAAAAAAGAGAAAGGAGAGTACAAAAATGGATAAATGGTTCATTCAGTGTGTTTTCCAGTCTGAGATAAACATCAGATAACAAACTCAGGGCCAAAGGCTATATGTTGACAATCAATTCTGCTCAGCCAGACATTAATAAATATGATGAATTTAAATTATGTGCTCTTCAATAAACATCTGAATCTTTATTTATACCTCTTGATTTGCCAAAATGTTTTGCTAGGAATCTAAGAGGATGAGGAAATAGGATAAGAACTACTTTCACAATCTGTTAAAGGAGAAAACTTGACATTTTTTTTAAGGAAACATGCATATTTTTTTCTGAAAAAATATTGTGAAAGACAGCTAATGGCATGATCAAGGGGAAAAAGGAATGTAAAACATATTTTAACCTATTCTAAAGGCAAGTAGCTGAAATAGTTGTTTTAATAATGTAACGGGTTTATAGAGAATTAACAATGAATTTCAGTAATCTTCCACTACCTTTCCTTCAACAAGTTTATAGTTGGAAGAAAGTCTTCCTGGCCTTTCATTTCTTTACCATAACAGTTTGTTATCACAAAAGCAGGCTAGTGTGTGCATGAAAGGGATGTGGCATTTCAGAACTTCATGGAGAAAAAAAAATAATGGAAGTAATTTTGTGTTAAGCAAATTATAAGCAAGCAGGAACATGAATTTTTGGCACATATTAGCAGGTAGAACTCCAAGAAACTTGTCGATTCCTATTCACAGTGGTCCCTGTAGGTATGCTTGGCTTTTCTTTGGCTTCAGTTCACTTTACTACTGTGACAGCTAGGAGTTATGTGTTATTTTAACTCTCAAAAGCCATAAAGGGATTAGGCCCACATTGTGCTGAATTCTACAAGGATATATAGAAACATGCTTTTCCTCCCTGAAGATCTTACTCTGTTGACTTTAGGGTCAGAGACAGAAAAGGCAAGGAGAAGAGATGCAATAGTACATAGAAATACTAATTTAGCATGCAACTTGAGTTTCAGATATTTGTGTTTTATTGGATTATATGTAAACTATTATTATAATTTCATTATTTTGTTCTACAATGGTTTCCTTCCCAAACTCTTCTGGGTACTTCCTCTCCCTTTTCACTTTCCTTTACAAAAACTGAATCCTAGCATTTATTTTCACCCTTGTTTCCTAAGGGAACACATGATCACATTTTGTTTGCATGAGAGAGAGGAAGAGAGAGAAAAAAAATCATTGTTACAAGTGTTGTGAAAATACATAGTAGGATGGATAGAGGAGAGCCTGCAGAATCCTTTATTAGATGATCCAGATCCACATTTACACAAAAGGCCACTGTGTGTAGAACTGCTTGCGTCTATTGATAAACGTCCACTGTGCTGGCACTTTGTTTCAGCATGTAACATGTATTTTTAATTTTAATGATCAATCATACATCTGTCTGGAGATGCAGTTACTCTGCACAAAGAACTATGGTATCTAGATATGCAATAGCATAGTTGGGTACCCAATATTTTTAAATCGTTCCCTGTGTTCTTTAAGATTCAGAACACCCTACTTTCCTTAGCAAACACTATCCTTCAAGAGAATCACAAACAAAGGATGAAGAATATTATTTGATAAATATTACATGTTGAATACCACCAGGAGTGGTAAAATAACCAGCTGGTCACATGCAGTCCAAGCAATTGCAACAGGCATATTGTCAGGACTATTGGTGATATTTAATTATGATTGCCTACAGGCATATATTACACCTTGCGTGTCACCTTCAATTGTTCAATCTGTTGTGTCTGCAAACAGGATGAATCCCATTGTCCTGCAGAGGTAAAAATCTGAGAAGTGCCTTTTTGTGGGCACTTTGGTGAGCTTGGAAGTAGTAATAGCTTCTGAGAAGACACATCTATCACTACTGTTTTGTTCATGTTTGACTATCTGGAATGCAAAAAAAATGGAAAGAAAGCAAGAGATTGTACAGGATAATTATAGATGAGATATATAATGTCTGACTTGGCTTATCTTAGTTTAGAGGAATTATAACCAATTTTCCAATGAAGACTTTTCAGTGTTGCACTTCTGAGAAGCTTCTATTAGTCATAACCCCTTAGGCACACCTGATATGAAATTTGGCATGAAGCAGTATGCTTTCAGCTACACCTGTGCAATTCAGCTGAGTCCAGTATGAAATGTTTTTCTCATCTCACTCTCACACAAGTGTGTTTATAGAACTGAAAGCACAACTGAAGAGTGAAGGGTGTTGATGGAAATGGAGCACAAAGACTTGACATCTTCCTTCTTGAGAAAGTACGATGCCTGGACAGCCACACTGAGCAGTGTGGCCAGCATATGAAATGCTTTCATTTCAAAAAATATCTGATAATGATCAGTTTTTATTTAGCCATAGGATTAATGAGATGTGTACAGTCAGTGTTCTGCTGGTAGATTAGATGGCTTCTTCTTTCCAAAGTGACTTAAGATGATGGAGCCTTGAGATTTTATTGGCTAAACTTGGCAATTTTCTGAACGTTAAATCCATTCAAAGGGTTACAAAAAGGATATCTGAAAACTGGGAAACCTCAGTCAGTGTCCATTTAAAAAAAATTGGGTTCTGAAATAATGAAGAAGTCACTTGTTTTAAAACCTGCTTTGGTTCCCGTTTAAATCAATGATAAATATCTTACTGAATGAAAAGGGAATAAGAACAGATTCTTGATGCATTTTTCATTTGAGATTTGCAAGCTGTTTTTCTTGTGCAGCACTCTGAACTATGGTCTACTTGAGTTATGCTCATAGGAGTTAATTTTTCAAATATGAGAAAATATACAATCCAAAGCTTGCTTTCAAGTCTTAGTCTGCATATTCCTGAGGATTTTAATGCTGTCTCTTTTTAGTAAGCTACATGTATAAATTTGTAAGGAACTCGACGTTAAAAAAAGTCAGGATCTAGATATATATTTATATGTTGTCTAATATGAGACACATATATGTATATCTAGCAAACGGAGATATACCAGATTTGTTATTTATAATTTAAGTCCTATGAAGCAATTTTTCAGAGGAAACTCATTAATTCTTTGGAGAAAGACTCAGCTGGCATGGATTTGCTGTTGGTTATTAGGATTAAGAAAAAAATTAAAATAGTGAATCCTCTTATAATAGGGCCAGATCCTCAGAAGGTATAAATCACGATGGCTCAATGTAAGTAAAGTAAGCTCTGACAATTTGCATCAGTTTAGGATTTGACCTTCTCCCCAGAAAATTGTTTCTCTGAAGATCATACTTCCTATATTTGTCTTACTTTGTGCTGGCAGAGAATTAATTAACACATAATGGCTTTGGTGAACTCAGTATAAAACTTCTCTGTTCAAGAACTCTATTCATTTACTGTTTAACTTGCTTCATGGCTGAGTTAGTTCTGCAGGGTCATGCTGTACTAATGACCAGAGCACAGGAACATTGTCAAACCAATGAGGATGAGGTAGGCTTGGAAGCATTCCAGATTCTGTTCAATTAATCACTGAAATTTCAGGATCTTTGGGGACAGAGTTGAAAAGTAAGTTGAAGAGAAAGTACATAAAGAATTAGATTCATATTCCAGACGGAGGGAGTGGGAGGGAGACCTTACTGGATGAGAATCAAGGAAAGATGAATTGACCAAAAATATGAAGGAATAAATTTTTTAAAAAAGCATAAAACTTGTTACTGGCGATTTTTCAGAGGATTTTGATTATTTCTTCTTTACTGTAATTTATTTTTGTTCTTCTTCTTCTCTAACACTGCCTGATAGTGCAATCTCTACATCAGTGTGACTACTTGCATATGTCAAGACCATGCATGCATAAAAGCTTGTTAGATCTAGCTCAGAACTCTTTTTAAAAGTTTTCACTTTCTTTTTCGCATTCAAGATTTTCTGCCACAACACACTGTTATATGTGACCTAAAAAAAAACATGCTGTGTTTAAGACCCCAAACTTGATAATTCTTGCTAAGGTCAATGAGAATTGCAAATGCTCAATATCTCTCAGAGAGGTCCCAGAGACAGGCATGGTCTCTGAACACGTGGTTCCAAATCCCTTTAGCACTACTGAGATAATGGTATGTGCACTGGAAGGAAAATAGGCTGCTCAAAGATTAGAGGAGACCATGTTTTTCTCATAAACAGCAATTCAGTTATTGATTTTTTTTTTTTAAATATCACTCAGCTGAAAACTTTCAGTAGGTGCAGTACCATGCCAGCTTCACACAAGTTAAGACAGAAGCTGGATTTCAGAAATTGAGCAGAATCTTCCTAATTCTGTCTTAGATTTCTAGCTAATCTTTTTTAGGCTGCTAAGCACTATTGTATCGAGTGGCTTGAACTTGAATTCTAGATACTGAACACATCACAAATGTTGTTTTTTTAGCAACTCTGGCTACATTTTTTTCTGGAAAAGAATTATTTTAGCTTTGCCTAATTGAATCAACTCAGATGCATTTAAATTCTATTGAAAGCTAAACTCTACTTTTAGTTTTCACATCAGTTAGTAATCAAGTACAAACTGTACCTACGAGCTCATTTTGACCTGC